AGATGTCTACCAAAAAAAAATCCTAAAGTAGGTGGCAAGCAATGTCCAAGCTGAGAATGACCCCTAAGAGCAATGATGGGTATTGTCAACCTGACTGGGCTTGGTCTTGCCATGGAAGCAAACCTCTGGGCATGCCTGTGAGGATGTTTCCAGAAGATTTAACTGAGGGGCCACGGCCTACGCTGAATGTGAGTGGCTCTGTCCGATGGGCTGGGCTCCTGGACTGAATGAAAAGCTGAACACTAGCAATCACTTTGCTACCTGACTGCAGATACAACAGGACATCTGCCCCTCATCTGCCACCATGACCTCCCTGTGAGTTCAGACCATAAGCCAAAATAAACCCATGCCCCTAAGTCACTTTTGTCAAATATATTGTCACAGCAATGAAGCAGTGAGTAATAAAGATGACATTCATTTCTGTGCCTGGGGACTGTTCTTGATATTATCACTGGGCCTGAGTCCATCAGTCTGAGTGAAAGTTGCACCCTGAATAGGTTGAAAAGGCATCGATGGCAATGCCGTGGAACCCCTGCATTTGACGATAGGAAAGTGGGACTCAGGAGGGTCAGCTGCTGTTATGTCAGATGCAAAGTGTCCTCCACAGGCTCACATGTTCATACAGTTGGTTTCCAACTGCTGGCACCATCTTGGAACCTTTCGTGAATGGGGATTGAATGGCAGGTGTAGGGCCCTCTGAGTATGCATGATCTGAGGTTAGAGGCTGGCTCCACTTCTGGTCCGAGCTGTTTCCTGATTGCCATTGCAACGGAACACGTAACCTGCTGCCTTATGTTTCCACTGCCGCAGCCGGGAATGGATCCCGGTAGCAGGCCTTCCTGCCACAGTGATGGGCTGTAGTGTTGCCTAGAGCATGACCCTGAATGAACCCTTCCTCCTCCCCTTGTCTCTGTCAGGGATTCTGTCACAGCAATAAGAAGAGTAACACAGGTCTCTTCCACAGCCGCCCAAGCGAAACTCCTACCCTTCTGATTGGGCCGTAGTTTCCTGGGGATTCAGTAACGAAGTACCATGGAGACAGTGGGCGGAGCTTAAGTCATCAATGTGTTTCGCTTTCACTGCAGTGTCCGGAGGCTGGAACTCTCAGTTGAAGTTTCAGCAGCGCCTCTTCCAGCTTCCGGTGGTGGCAGAGGAGTGGTCTTGGAGTTCCCAGGCTTTCTGCTGCACCTCTCCGGCTTCTCATCACACCAGCAAATGGTCCTTTCATGATCTGTGTATTGTCTCTTCATATCATGACATCTGTGACACAGATATTAGGGACCAGCTTCACCCGATGGGACCTCATCAAAATTTAACTAATTTCATCTACAAAGGTCCTCTTTTGAAATAAGGTCAAAGTCTGCAGTTCTAAGCCACTATGAATTTTGAGAGAATATTTTACATTAGGATATATGTGCATAGATAAATATATACTTACACATATATACTTGTGTGTGTGTGTGTGTGTGTGTGTGTGCATGTGTGTGTGTGTGCATGCACCCATGGGTGGGTGGGTGTGCCGCACTCGTATGCCCATGTTCATGGAAGCACGCCTACACACTCACTTATATGCATGTATTCAGAATCAGCCACAACCACCTTTCTCACCTGTGCAGTGCCCCCCCCCAGCAATGTTCTTTATCACTAAATATGTTGTTATAATCCAGGACGCAGAAGTCTGAGTTGAACTAAATATAACGTTAGAGGGAATCTAGCCAATGGTCAGTGGTGATCCCAGCTCCCAGCTACGTGAGATATTGGGGGGGAAGGGAATGGGGTGCGGTAGGTATGCAAACACTCTTAGGGCATCCCTGAGTACCATGAGAGACTGCACACTGTGGGGAGATGAGGCCCCTTCTGTCAGTGGGAACACTGAGTTTTTATATTGGATGCCCATAGGTCTGGATCTGGGTCTCTGAGTCCCTACGATTGATTAAAATGTCTGTAAATCTGTCGCCAAACAAGGAGTCATCAATATATCTGATTTTATCACAACTGCATAACTTACGTTGGTGTAAAGCATAACCAGGAGCTCTTGTTTCTGGTACTTACATAACAAGGCAAAAAATTATAGGACTGAGCAAAATGCTTCTTCCCACAGTCACTAAGCACACCAGAAAAAACACAACCCAGTGTTTGGGGTAGGTTTCCAAGAACCAACAGGGTGTATTCAGACTTTGCTCTCTGGCTCTGAAAGGCCACCTTTTGACAGGTTAGTCCCCTGGGAAATCCCTAGAGGCCTGGTCTGTGCTTGAATGAAGGCTTTAATCTGTCTGCATCAAGCCAGAATGGTCAACCCAACTAGTACTTCTGGTCCAGTCCCACAGAGGGTGGAGGAGATGCCAGAGGTGGAAGGAAGCGCCACCTAGTGGTGAGGAGAGACTGGCTTGCATGTGTCTAGGACTCTGGTTTTGGGGAGTCGGATGGAGTCTTGTGTAAGTATCAGATAATCAAAAATAGTGTGTCCAAGCCAAATGAGGGCTTCCCAATAAACCAGACAGTCTACCATGGAGCATCCCAGCTCAGTGTCTCTGACAAAGCCCTAGGCCAGCTCTCCCCACCCAGTCAGCCCAGAGACCCATGGAAGGCACAGCTGAGTCTCTGGTGACCGCCATCCCGCCATCCCTGTGTTATAGGGAACCAAGAATTCAGAGTATAACTGTTTCCCACCTGTGTGGCAAAGGATCAGATTCATGCCCAGTCCATCCTGACAACTTCTATTTCAGGACAAAAGCCAATCAGAAGAGCAAATATCATCATAATAATTTTAAAACAGCCAGCTATGTTGTAGATTACAGAGAATGTTATCTTCTTTTTGAGCGTGAATCTGCAGCCCAGGCTAGATTCAAGTTCAAGGGGCTCATTCTGCCTCAGCCTCACCTGTGCTGGTGTGACAGGGTGTGGGGTGACCACACCCAGCTCTTTAGAGAGAGACTGTCACCATAATGTCAGGTCATTGTGTCTGCTCAGGATTTGGTTGCTGTTTGTTTTTTGTTTTCTCAGGTCTGCCTCAAAAATCCTTCTGGAGAAGTGGCTGAGAACACACTCAGCTTCTTAGCACTTAATCCTCAAATGAGAAAATCAAATAACGCAAGCAAAAACCGTGATGTCATTGGAAAACATTTCCTGTTCTCAAAGCAAAGAACATTCTCAGAAAGGACTAACCCACTGCTTCCAGGAATCAGGATTATCATAAGATCATCCTGGAGCTTCAGAAGTATGGACGAGCCTTGCAAGGCTCTGGTAGGTGTTGGTACACAGAGACTCAAAGCTTCAGAAAGGCATCTAACTCAAATTCACAAACAGCAGCCGCTTGGAAGGACAGCCTTCCAGGGTGACAGAGCCAGCTGATCTGATGGACTCTGCGACATCCTAGGCAAGACCTTGGCGCCATTCTCTTTGTCCCATCACCGAGGTTGTTATGGGAAGAGGTGAGAACAGACAGTAGCCTCTGTGGGGAAAATGGCTTCTCTCCAAGAGGTTGTTGTATCCACTGAAGAGCTGGGAACCATGGAGGCACCCAGGGTGAGCTAGGACAGAGACTGGGTGTTATGGATGAAATAGTGTGTAGGATAAGACCCCATTAGTAATCTGACCTGGGCCTTTACTCTCAGGACAGATAGCTCCTCGTACCATCCAGGTGTGCTACTCCATGCTTCTGAACGTAATTTCCCTTGGACCACAACCTGACCAAGTAGCTACACTAGTTTAAGCCAAATAATGGCAGCTTTGGCTCTCCCTGACTACACGGCCTCATTCTAAGCAAGAGCTGTCCAAAACTCAGGCTCATCCTTCTGCAGTGAGATCACTTACTTTGCCTAAGCCAGGCTATGGCAGCAGACACCGCCCTGTTGGCCTCTTAAGCACACAGAGGACAGGAGGGCAGGCTAGCCCTACCAGTCCCAGGTGAGCCTGTCCCTGTGGCCAGCCTTTTAAAATGACCACACCCAGAAGTGTGGTAACAGATGAAGCAAAACTTCAAACTTTGAAAGGTAATTGACTTAAGGGGAAAAGCGAAACCACTGTCATTTTGTAACATTTATCATGTAATTTGTCCATTTTGTAGGACTATGGAGTACACATTTTTAGAATGAAATAAGCATATTTTTGTTCTCTTAACTGTAAAAGCAAAGAAAGGTTGGGAGTATTCTAACTTTTTAAAGCAATTATGTCCAAGAGTAACTTAGAACCACTGGAAATGGAGGCTAAAGGTTGGCGGGACTCCACTGGGAGTGAGCCACCAGGCATTGGTGGAGGATGTTAAAGGGGACTCCTGAGCTCCACTCGCTCTGGGAGTTGAGCAAGACCATGTATGTATATGTGCATATACATGCAAACACATGTGGGAATGTGTGTGTGGGGGGGTGTTAAGTATACATGTGTGTGTATTTGTGACAGTACGGTGAACATGTATAATATTCATGTGCATATGAGTGCGCATGTGCGCGTCATACATGTCTAGATCTCTTTGACGCGCTGTTAAAATGTCTGTGCTTCATAACTCACACACGGATTATCTCTCACGCAAGCACAAGCAACTTCTGGTTCAGATTTGCACTCTTCATTTTTATTCCTTCAAATCCAAATAGAAAAGGCAAAGAGTGGGAAGGAAGCTGGGGGAGGGGAGGCGGTTTCACTTTAAATTTTCTACTGGGGCTGGGAAATGGTTCAGCAGTTAAGTGCTTTCTGCACTGGGGTTCCATTCCCTAGAACACAGGTAAATGTCAGGTGGGCATGGTGGCCCCTGCAGTTATAACCTCAGAGGTGGAGACCGGATCCCTGGAGCAAGCTGGCTAGTGAGACTAGCCATACAGCTTTGGGCTTGAATAAGAAACCCTGTCTTTAAAGAGTAAGGTGGGAGAGCCATGATTCTTGACATCATCTTTGGACATCCCATACCTTCACCACATGTGCATGCACACCCACACAGTCCAAACACAAACACAGGCATGCAGGCATGTTACACACACATACACAAAAGAAAGAAAATCAATGAAGTTGATTGAAAATGTTTAATTTGTAAGGCACATGGCTTATGATCATTTTAATATCTAAAAGAACAAAAGTAACAGGACTAATTCCTGATCATTGTCATTTACCAAGTTTGAATGTCACACTGTAAGAGCGGGCTTATAAAGATGACTCCTACAGAGGTGTGGAGTGATGTGGACCAAGGCGGGACAGCTAGACATGACCCTGAAAACAGACTACTGGACTGAAGCCACGGCTTCCAAGAAACAAGAAAATGTAGTGGCCACCATATTGGACTTTATTTCCTTACGAGATATTTTTCACCTAATCTCAGGATCTTATTGATACCTTCATCCAAACTGCCTATGGAGCATGAGGGAATCCAGAGCCCAGCACCCCGGCCAAGCGTACAAGAGATGTTTCCTGTAGGGTGTGCGGCTGTGAAGGGTCAAGCCGGAGAAGTCTTGCAGAGCATCTAGGCAAGCTCACATTTCCTCATTCATGATTAGGCTGGAGCCCAGCAGGCCTCACTATGACACAGGGTGGCCCCAAGGATGATGGAAGGAATGTCACAAGCAGACCAGAAACTCCTCAACTTCTCGGGTAAAGACCATTTTCTGGAATGGCTTAAGAACGGGACTTTCTGGATTTTCATCTGGAATTTAGTTTTCATGCTTGGCCTCAGGTTGAGACAGAAAGAACAGCAATGAGATAGGAAGGAGACATGAATGAGCTAACCTCAGGTACATCATCTTCACTGAAGCACTGCCTTGAGCAGTACTCATAGGCTTACATTGTGATGTAGGGCAGGGAGAGTCTCCAAGCCGGAGCTGACAGGAAGAGTCCCCATGAAAGCACAGTCCCTCTGAGGAAGTGAGAAGAGAAGTTCCCAAAAGGAGTAGACTCTAAGGCACAGGGACACTCTCCACACCTGGGCTCAGGGGCAACAATATCCTTGGGGCAAAAGCAAGGCACCCTGGTCCCATTACCCTACGTCCTGCTGCCCCATGGTTCTGCAAGAGGCTCTACAATCCCTATGTGACTCAGCAGGGCCAAATTCTTTGTTTTAAGTCTTCCATGATGACCTTTTAAGGCACCAAGAGGGACGTCCCTTCATTGGTCTTTCACACAAATGTCATACCACAGATGAATGAAAATTATACGTGATGTATGGTACACGCATGAGTATGTATGTGCACAAGAATACGTTAAAGATTGGTGGTTCTGGAAATATTCACCCAATTGTTATCAGAAAATATATAGAATAAATTTTAGGTGATTTTTAATTTCTTCTTCACACCCTCTAATACTGTTCTAAAGTATTTTATAAGTATATCAAACAGCATTTCCATTTTAAACTAATATTTGAAAAGAGAAAAACAAGTCACATGATTATCAAAACTATCAAAGAAAGACTAACCTCTTAAAAATGATGAGAACTAGAGTCAAAGGCAATTTGCTCTGAAATGAGCTACAAAACACTATCGCCCTAAACATGGATTACAAGAGTATTGAACCTCAAAGATATAAATTAGCATAGATGAGACGGAGGAATGAGTAGACAAATCTCAAGGCCATGCATCCTGTGGTGGCATTAAGAGAGTCAGCATCGTTTTGCAAAAGCTGTTTCAGGGAAGAAACATAGAAGGCTCTCCTGGAAGCCTTGCTTGCTCATCTGAGAAAAAGATGCAAGCCAGCCAGCAAGCATCACTTCATCCTTTTCGCTGCATCTGAATACGCGTGTTCGATCTCCTGGTCAGCTGGACACGTGTTAGTGAACTCATCCCGGGCGTAAGCATTTTTCAAGTACCTCCAAATGCCAGTCATTTCAGATGGAAATTCAAAATCCCTGTATTTCTTGGCCACAATCTGCAAATCAAGAGGAAACAATGAAAGAATACAGCCATTCATGTGAGTGATCAGGTCAGACAACCCATCCTTGGGAGGCTCATAGCCTAGCTTCTGGTGTGATGTGGGCTGCCCATAGTGGCACTTTAACTTTGCTAGGGTAGCTTGGGAGCAGGAGAGGTGACAGAGGTACAGGACCCAAATGCAGTGTTCTGTGATAGGATTTAGGATCACGTGCGAGACAATCCTGTGAGCACCACGGTGAGGGAGCTTCTGGGGTGGGGATGGGGGGTTCATTGAGGTTGAAAGACCTACCCTAAATGTAGAAGACACGATTCCATGGGCTGGAATCCTGGACTGAACAGAAATGTCATAAGGAACTGAACACACCAGCACCCATAGCTCTCTGTGTCCTAGCTGCTGATGCTGTGTGACCAGGTGCCTCACATTCCAGTCTCTGTGCCCTCCCTGCCATCATGGGTTTTATCCCATCAAACTGTGAGCCAAAATCAACCTTCCTCTTTTAACTTGCCCATCAGGTTCCCAGACGTGAGCCTTGGGATCCAGCTATGCGTACATATAACATGCCAGTGGCTTTCTCCCTGTGTCTGTGGCAATGCCTTGGCAGGTATCAGCTACTGTGCTATGTGGTGCATGAAGGCATGGGAGGTCTTCATTTTAGATTTCATCTGGATCTTTTAATCAGCTCTCTCTTCTAGTTGTTCAACCCCATCTCCAGCGATCTCTAACGTCTGGCATTCAGAAGTCCACCACTCTCTTCTAAGCAGATTGCTCAAGCATGAGCTTGCCGTGTGCAAAAGTCAGTGCATAAGCAAAACAGCTTGCTCCTCATCGTCGTGGAGGCAGTGGGAGCAAGATAAGGACGAGTGAGGTGGATGTACTAAGGAACTCAGACGTGTGAGATGGTTTTCTGGTCCAGAGAGGGCTGGGGGGAATCTGTCGCTAAGGACGGTGTCCAGTGATGGGATGTGTGTCTTTGTTAGTGCTGCACACTTGAACAACTAAAAACAAGTTTTTCTATCATAGTCCCAGAAATCAAATGTCAGTGGGGCCCTGCTCCCACTAAAGTTTCTGGGTTAGACTCTGTCTCCAGCCTTCCTCGTAGCCTCTTCACCTCTTGACTGTGGAAAGACAGCTGAATCTGTGCGCGTCTTCTTGCTGTGTTTGGGTGTCCCTGTCTTAAGTCCTCTTTCAGCAGCAAGCCGTATTGGAGGAGGGTCCAACCTTCTCTTCTGCACCTTCAACCTAACTAACTATATCTTCGAAGACCCACAAGCCAAATAAGTCCGCTTCTGGGGTAGTAGTGATTAGTACCTCAGTATACAAGCTTGGGAAAGCACGAGTCCATCTGTCACAGGGATCCAGGGCTACAAAGGTCATGTCTGCTGTGTCCCCGCCCTCCTCACTGATCCTGGGGTGTTGGAATGAATGGAACATGAGATTCAGCACAAATCAGATCTCAGTCATCAGACTATGACAGCGATCACCATTCATGCAGTGTGGCAGCAAATTAGGACGAAAGAACGTCCAGAGAGCCTGTGGCAGGTGTGTTCTCCACCTGAACACTGATTTAGGGATGCTCGGGTCAAGAATTCTCATTTCTTCGGTTAATGCTCACCAGCTTCACTTGTGATCTTTTTGAAAAATCTTAACCTGGAGTCTCATTCATGCTAAGCAACTGCTCCCCCAGGGAGCCCCTCCCCCAACTAAGCCCAGCTCTCTCTTTACTTTTTATTTGGGCATGGGGTCTTATTATCTTGTCCAGGTGGGCCTTGAACTCACTCTGTAACCCACACAGGGTTGAGCCTGCAGCCCACCTCCATCAGCCTCGTGGGTGGTAGGTATTAGGGGCTGGTGCCATCAGCCCTGGATATTTTAGTATCAATGAGGAAATTTTCTAAATGTCTTCCTCTCATACATGGGCTCTTGCTTTTATAATTTCTCTCTCTGTGTGTATAAATCTCCATGTGCATGTGTGTCAACCTACATATGATGAAGTTCAAGTGTGTGGACACTGCGTGGGAGTCAGAGCCACACTGGGTGACTTTCTGGATGCTACCTACATTTTAAATTCTATTCTAGATTTACTCTTTAAGTTATGTTGTATGGAAGGTGGGGGCGGGGGAGACAGTCTGTACATGTGAGTCTAGGCTGGATCAAGCTGCCTCAAATGGGTGCTGAGTGGAGGTCCTCTGGAATAGCGGCCAGTGCTCTTAACCACTGCCCTACCTTATTGTTCTAAAGAAGGATTTCTTATGAGTGTGCACACATGTGTGCAGAGGTCCCTAGAGGCCAGAAGAGGCATTCCAGTCCCTGCTGCTGGACTTGCAGGTGGCTACACTCAAGGCCTCTGCCATGCACAGGTAACTCAGCTGTGGGACCACTACCCCAATCTCTCTCTCTCTACCCCATTTTTGGAGACAGGATCTTTTGTTGAGCCTGGAACTTGAAATGTGACTAAACTGTCTCTGGCCAGCAATCCCATGATTCTCCTGCCTCTGCCTTCCTGAGATGAGATGCCTCACATCTGCCATGTTTTGCAAGTGTTCTGAGGAATCAAACTCAGGTCCTCTTGCTTGTGTGACAAGCAAGCAAACAGCTGAGCCATCTCTCCACCCGCACTATGATTTCTGAATGTACTACTTTGTTTCCTATGTGTATGCACGCACACACACACACTCCCTTTCAATAGCCCAGAGTCTGCGGTTCGGTTCTTTCTGAGAGTCCCCGAACGTTATCTATCAAATTGACTCCTGTTAATGACAAAGGAGGGAACATATGTGTTTCCATGTCCTTCTGGCTCTTTCCCTTTATCACGTTCTGACTTCATCTCTCCACTAGTGTCAGTGTGGGTTCCCCACGGAAAGGGCCACAACACTCCAAGCTAAGAAGCTCATGGAAAGGACTTGTCACCTCTTATTGAATGTCCAGCTACAATCTCTTTTTATAAATTTATTTTATTTTTTATTGAAATATAAGCATATCACTCCCTCTTTAAGCCCTTGAGACACCTGTTCACCAAACACATAAGAATAGAGAAAGCAAACAGGTAAATGACAGAGATGTGTGTGTTGGGACTGGATAGTTAGGTTACCCTAAGCCCAAGTCTCTCACTCTTCTGTAAGCAAGCGAGTGTCCTTTGAGCAAATCTGTGCTCTAAGTTAGAGCAAGAGAGATTCCCTGTTTCTTAACAGCCTTTTCTAAAGCACATCTTATCTGTCTCAGGTTCCTATTTTCATGATCATTTGAGTATTTCAACACATAGTAATTTTACTACTCAGGAGTGCTTATTTTACTAAGGCTGGGTGTCTGGGGAGATAATAACTGGGGATATAAAACTCTTTCATAATACAGCAGACAACCTTCCTGTTCCTCTCTGTTTGCTGATTTTTGATGTCATGAAGGTTGTTGAGGCCATTGTGGATGTCTTCCCCCTGTAGGCAGTTCTACTGTTTATCTATGTCATCATTGCTGTGGGTGAGTACTATTGTCTGGCTGTCTGCTGTAGTTTGAGTATACTCTTGGAAGGGTCATGGGTTGAAAGTTTGGGTCTCAGTGAAGCAATGTGTGATAAGACCTTCAAGAAGCAGGGCTTGGAGGAGGGCATCACTAGACTGAGATAGTTCTCATGGGAATCTGGTTAATTCTGTAGGAAAGTCTGATATACAAGAGCAAGTCTGGATGCTTCCAGTCTCACCATATGATCACTTCCTATCTCACCATATGGCCACTTCCTGTCTCACCTATGCTCACTTCCTGTCTCATCCATGCTCACTTCTTGTCTCACCCACGATCACTTCTGTCTCACCCATGCTCATATCTTGTCTTACCTGTGATCACTTCCTGTCTGGCCTATGGTCACTTCCTATCTCACCTGTAGTAACTTTCTGTCTCACCTGTGGTCACTTCCTGTCTCATCCATGCTCACTTCCTGTTCTACCTATGGTCACTTCCTGTCTTACCTGTGATCACTTCCTGTCTCACCTGTGGTCATTTCCTTTCTCACCTATGGTCACTTCCTGTCTCACCTATGGCCACTTCCTGTCTCACCTATGGCCACTTCCTGTCTCACCTATAATCACCTCCTCCCCCCCACACACACTGGGATGCCTTAAGGTCCATATCCAATGGTCTTGAATGTCTACAACTGTGAGCTAAACAAGTTTTTCTGCATACCCCTGCCCCAAACATTCTGTTATAGCAATGGAAAGGGACAGATACAGTTCCTAACACTTCCTTTCTATTACAGAACCGTGGTGAAGTATAAAGCATGTCTCACAGTGTTGATTGTTCTGGGAATATGTTTCCTAAACATGGCATGACCTTGAAAGCAGAGGTTTGGGGTTAAGGATGTACCAGTGCTTGCCTACATGTCCAAGACCCTGAGTTTTATCCTCAGCAAATAATGATTATGGTAATGATATAAAAATAGGCAATCTTGTATGATGTACATGCTTGTAGCTCTAGGATTCATTAGAGGCTTGGGGAATGGCGAACCTGAGACCAGGCTGAGCTATATAGTGAAACCCTGTCTCACATACCAAGGGCTGGTGATGAACTTGGTGGTAGAGTACCACCTAGTGTGTATTAGGTCCCTGGGTTTTATCCTGGCACAGTCAATTCAGGCTATTCTTCAGATAAAGCAGAAGCCCCAGCCCTCCTTTAATTCATACAATGTTCTGCTTGGACCTCCACTTTCCTGCTTTCCTTCTCTCTTCTCTCATTCTGAATACAAACATCTGATTTTAGGTGATTTGTTTTCAGATCCAGTCTAACTACTTTCTATGGTTTCCTTTCATCTGCTTCTTGCTACTTCTATATAACTTTTATATTCCTTCAGGACTTTATCTGTCTTTACTTTTCTCACTCAAATGCCTCTGGCCTAGGTTGCATCCATTTCTGGTACTGTGTCTTTTGATAGTCTATGTCTTGTCTTTGAGCTTTTTTTTTTTTTTTTGAAGAAGTCATACTATTTTCCCTTTTCAAGGTTGTAGAAGGATCTAGAATGTTCTTTGACTTCCTGGGACAAGTCTTTGTTATATATGCATTTCCTGACCCCTTTTTCCTTTCTTTAATTTTGGGTCCTCCATCATTTTCTTTCACTTTTATTGTCCGTAGCTATACGGTGGCCCTGCATGGATCCCTTCTTGTGGCCAGTCATGATTTAGTGAGGCAGACATACTGGAGCTATCATTTGTTTAGAAATCACATGGAGCAACAGGAGAGTGAGGACAGGTCAGTTGGTAGAGCAAACTCACTATTCCAATGGAGCATTCATTCACCAAACACATTGGAGCTAGAGTTAGGGTGAGAGATAGGGTTGGCATTAGAGTTAGAGTCAGGGAACCCTTCCTTCCTTCCTTCCTTCCTTCCTTCCTTCCTTCCTTCCTTCCTTCCTTCCTTCCATCCTCCTTCCCTTCCTTCCTTCCTTCCTCCCACCCTTCCTTTCATCCTTCCCTTCCTTCCTCCTTCCCTTCCTTTCTTTCTTCCTTCCTTCCATCCTTTCCTTCCTTCCTTCCTTCCTTCCTTCTTTTCTTTTTTTCTTTTCTTTTTACTCTGTTCAGCAGCCACAAAACAAAATGCCAGATCTTTCTTTTTCTCCTACCCCATCTCCCTCCAGGACACACCAGTGGGTGAGGGGCTGGGCACAGGCTGTATAGACATCAACTCTGTATGATCTTGCACCAACTCTGTCTCTTTAGAGACCTCAACCCACAAGTGTTCTCTGTCATCTTTGCCTCACTGCTCCACCCTCTACGCAAAGATCTCAGGCATTTCAGGACTGCGTTATTTACTTCTTTAAAATTCTGAACTGTTCTAACCACAAAGGGAGCCATGCACCAGTCAACCCTGTCTCTGGGATTCCTTTGTGTTTGTGGGTGATCTGTTGTTCTTCTGTAGGCTCATGAAAGATGAAGCCAATATTCTATTTTTAATGCCACTTTCAGTGAGTTTCAGGAAAGGAAATAAATTATAAATCTCCTCATTCTCATCTTTTACCATAACTCCCTTGGACTAATTCTCATTTCCTTCAGAAGTACTCTGTGCTGGAAGATCATTAAACAGTTTAGTATCTTAAGTGCTAAATGGCTTTGAAGATTCTGCTTCTAGGTCTTATATTCTCACCATGGGCTGCTTTTGACCTACCCCCACCTCCAAAGCTTACCCTTTCCACCGCTTACATGTATGTGTATGTCTGCGTGTTCATGTAAATGCAAGTACTCAGAGACCAGGTGAAGGTGTTGGATCCCCTGGAGCTGGAGTTACAGGTGATTGTGGGCTATCTAATATGGGTGCTAGGAACCAAACCTGGTCCTCTGCAAAAGCAGCCAGTGCTCTTAACCACTGAGTCATCTCTCCAGTCCCCTTCTTTTTCTTATGAATAAAGCACATTTTGACTTGTGCTGTGTGGCTGAGATATTTCTCATGTTCTCCAATGTGCTTTGGATATTAAACACTTTTATAAAATGAAGGTTTGGTCCCCAACTGGTGGTGATTAGACCATGAGGGAGCTAGCTTCATCGACTGGTTAACCATAGCAGATTAGGCAACAGGAAGTGGTATCTAGGCTACTAGAGGCCTTTGAAGGGTACATCTTGTCTAAGATACTCCTTGCTGTTTCTTCCTTCTGGCTTCAACAGGTGAGCTGCTTTCCTGTACTACAGTGTTTTCCACAAGCCTAACACCAATAAAACCAGCTCATTGTGGAATAATAGCTCTGAAACCACAGGCCAAAGCAAACCTTTCTGCTTTTAAAGACCTTCTCAAGCATTTTGTCATAGTCACTGCTGTCTCTTCTTCAGCCTGTACATACCTGTCTGATGCTATATCATTCACAGCAAAGACTAAAAATCTATTCCTGCAGAAGAGTAAACCACAACACAGCAGCATAAAGATCACTGGAAAATGACGGCTAGAGTCAGCAGATTGTCAGGAGTGGAGCATCTCTCAACTCCTTTGGATGTTAGGACCTTAGTGAAACTACTGAAAAGACATTCACTCAAGGAATTGGCAATGTCCATTGTAGGTAGATCTCACTGAAGTACACAACACAGGCAAGAGAGGAAGAGTGAGTTAGAGACTGGGGGTGGGGGGACAAGAAGAGGTATTCAGGAAGAGAAAGACAAGGTTCTCACACAGAGTGACCGAGAGTGACATGTAGCCCGCCATGGACTGTTGAAACCAGATGGGTATCTTTACCAGCCAAATATGTACAAACTTAGAGCATGGGACAAACTTGTGTTTCTCTGCATTTCCCCTTTATTCTCACCTTATGTTCCTACACCAGCTTTAGGCCTAGGGAGAATTTAATAATAATGAAGATGCCCAGTGCACAGGATTCTGTTTTAGACATCTGAAGATCACATACTGTACTGGCTGGTTTTGTGTCAACTTGATACAAGTTGGAGTTATCACAGAGAAAGAAGCTTCAGTTGAGAAAATGCCTCCATGAGATCTAGCTATAAGACATCTTCTCAATTAGTGATCAAGGCCCATTGTGGGTAGTGCCATCCCTGGGCTGCTAGTCCTGGGTTCTATAAGAAAGCAAGCTGAGCAAGCCAGGGGAAGCAAGCCAGTAAGTAACATCCCTCCATGGCTCTGCATCAGCTCCTGCTTCCTGACCTGCTTGAGTTCCAGTCTTGACTTCCTTTGGTGATGAACACAATGTGGAAGTGTAAGCTGAATAAACCCTTTCCTCTCTAACTTGCTTCTTGGTCATGGTGTTTGTGCAGGAATAGAAACCCTGACTAAGACACATACATAGCAGTGATGGCTGTCAAGCACATTAATGACTGACATCATCCATAAGTAACGGAGAGTTGGAGAGAGAGCAGCAACTCAGCATCCAACTGTGGGGCCAGCTGCCTGGGAATCCTCATGGGCCATAAGAAGTTCTGATTAGCTAGGTCAGGTGACCAATCAGAGAACTGAAATTTAAAAAACTAAACATTTTAAATTTTTAAAAATATTCCTTTAAACAGCTCTAGTTGTGTATGTCTGTTTACTCTTCTACTAGGAAGACAGGATGCCAGCTACAGAAGAGGCCAAGCTAAGGAGATGTATTAGCTGTTTTTAGCTATGTATGTGGGGCTGATGTGAAGAGTTTATAGGAAGACCCCTCTTTGTCCCTGAAACATCCTTGCTTATCCCTAGAGTTATCAAAAACACATCATCTTCAAGCTCCATGTGGTAAATGCCACGGAGACCCTGAGTGCACTGGAGCTTTTCCTCAGGCTGGGGACCCAGGGCAGGGAGCACACTCACAAGTCTTTCTTGAGAACACCTAGAGTTCTTGATTCTATGTGTTTAGCACAGCTGCCTTGACTATAAACTACTAGTTTTTCAATTCAAATCTGTGTTCCAGGCCTGTTTCCATGTCTGGCCCCAGCATAAGTCACAACAATAAAAACTAAACAAAACAAAACCAACAGCAAAGCCTCCTTCATGCCTCCAGCCCAGCCGTCAAGAGCAACAACAAACCTTGATGATATGGAGCTTGGGTAAGAGGTTACAGTCGGCCAGTGTGAGCTCATCCCCATCCAGAAATTTCCTTTGTGAAACAGTGACATCCTCCGTACTGTAGGCATCTATTTCGTCTGGTAGAGGGCTGTTTAAGTAACTGTCCAGCTTCTTCAGGGCCCGTAGTAGGTTCTTTTCATAAACTAAAACACAAAGGCAAGAGGTGCTGGAGAGGGGCTATGCAAGTGGCTGCCTTTTTTTTCTGTCTTGGAAGGTGAGAGTAGATGTGCTTCCTTTCTGAGACACAGCCAGTCTGTGGCAAGAAGACCGGAAGGACACAGATGCAGACGGGAGGACTCGGTCTCTGTGCCATCTACACGGTTATGCTACTTCTGGGACCCATCAGCTTTTAAGGTATTTTTCATTTTATTTTTATTCGTGCCTGTGTGTATGCATACCAGAAGTGTGCAGGTACACTCAGAAGCTGGAAGAGGGCCTCAGGTGTCCGAGACCTAGAGTGACAGGTGGTTATGAGCCACCTGGTAGAGGGGCTGGGAACCAAACTCCACAAGAGCAGTGTGTGCTCTTAGCTGCTGAGCCATCTATCCAGCCCAAATGCATCCACTCTTATAAACATTTATGAGAAGCCTACGGTGAGCTAGGGACTGGCAGAGTCGTCATTTGAACAATCACCACATTGCAGGTGGAAAAAGCTGGATGTTGACATGTCTCCCCTTAATAATGTTGTACTTTGGATTCCCAAACTCTAGAAAGAATCTCTCCAACGTCACATGCAGAGTCAAAGATAGGGATAGTTTCCCTTGTTCCCAGACTCCCATCTGTAAAATGAGCCCAGATACCCAGTATCTCCCCAGCAGCCATGCAGATGGCTCCATGGAGACAGAACCCAGGACAAGAGTACTTACTCTCATTCGCGTCCTTCTTGGTGTTTTTAATAAATGCTGAGAATTTGGCAAAAACATCATTTCCTGCCGAGTTGGATTCGGGGTGTTGGGTTCCCAGCTTAGGGTACCTTGAAGAGTTCAAAATCGATGAGTCACAAAAAAGCAACGGCTAGTCAGGATGATGAAATGGAGGGAAAGGCCTGTATCTGGTCAGATATTACGATGACAAGCTCCTGTAGACTGGTTTAGTGACCACTGGATCTCAAGGTAGAGTCAAAGCATGATTTGGGAGAACTGCATTGGATCTGGTCCTGGTGAGACCAATCCTAGAACACAGGGACCAACCAGATGTTCTTGACCTAATCCCCTCTCCAGTCTAATAAAGGTGTTTGATTAGAAGATTCCTGAAGTTTCTTCCAGTAGCAGACATGAGAGACAGTTATCCCACACAGCAATGATGCTTCCTTCATCCTTCTACCATACCATCCTAACAACCAAGCTATGGATACGTAGAAGGGATGCTGTTAGGGTTTGTTTTCAGTGTCAACTTGCCACAACCTAGAATCACCTGGGAGAAGAGCCTCAACTGAGGAACTGTCTAGATAAGATTGGACTATGGGTATGACTTGATTATTAGCTGATACAGTCCACTGTGGGTGGTACCATTCCCTAGGAAGGGGGCCCTGAACTACTCAGAACAGGAATAATAGTAGCAAATATCACCCTGCATTTCTCTCTGCTCTTGGTTGTGAATGTGACATGGCTGGCTGGCTTACATTCCTACCCTACTGACTTCCCTGCAATCATGGACCACAACTTGGAATTGTGAGACAGATAGACTAAGTTGCTTTTTTTTTTTTTTTTGGTCAGGATGTTTTGTTTTGTTTTGTTTTGTTTTGTTTTGTTTTGTTTTGTTTTGTTTTGTTTTAAATCACAGCAACAGAAATGAAACCAGAGCAGAAGCAGAATCCATCTTAACTCAAGGTGTCTGATCTGGCTGTTTCTGTGGCATAGTATGCATGACCAAGGAGGAGAATGGCAATGACCTTGTGAGCATCAGTTCTAAGAGGCTTACCTTGGGGGAACTAACTTCTCCTCTAGGAACTCCTCAATCTTATTCACATCCGTCTTGACTTCACCATCAAAAGTCATGAAAGGAGGGTTCGTCCCGGGAGCCAGGTTCTGAAGGTCTGCAGGCTTCCTAGATAGAATGGAAGAGCAGTCTGCACAGATGGTCCCAAGCATTTGGAGTCACAGCCAAGGCTTAGCTGTGACCTTATCATTTAAGAGATACAACCCTTGAAAATTTCAAAGTGGTCTGTGAATTAATAAGTTGGCTTGCTGGAGACGAAAGCCAAGAAATTCGCTAACAAATGATCCGTGGCTGGCTACAGAGATGGGAAAGTTAAGTCTCCAGGGTTATCAGCCCAGACCAGTGCTCAGGCAGGGTTCTGGGAGGGAAAGCAGGCTCTCCCTGGCCCCCAACCCCTACCCCTTTCTGACTGCAGCCCCTGAGTTCTCTATGAACCATGCTGCTTGGCTAGCCCTTGGGCTTCATTCCAGGCTCCTGATTAAGGAAGGACATATCATTATATGCCCTCAGTCCCTAGTGTGTGAGCATGTTTGTGTGTATACACACATGCTTATATACATGAAAGGGTGTGTTGCTGCATATGGGGAATTAGGCATGATTTTGCAAATGACACAGAAGCCTTGTCTCACCGTTTCAGGTCCACCGTTGTCACATTGAATATAACACCCTTTAGCCAGAGGATCATAAAGAGACGCTGCGAAAATGGACAGTTTCCGATGCTCTCTCCGTCATAACCAGCCTGAGAGTAGAAAACAAAGAGATTTATCTGACCCGGATTTATTTGGCCTTCTGAGGCTGTTTAACTCAGGGTCTAGGACAGGTTAGAGATGTGTGTGATACAGCAGTGATGCACACACACACACACACACACACAAAATGGAAAAATAGGAATTAGGGAGACATCTCAGTGGTTAAGAACACTGGCTGCTTGGGCAGAGGACCTATGTTCAGTCCTCAGCACTCACATGGAGGCTCACAACCATCTGTTATCCCCAGTTCCAGGCAATCAGACTTCCCTCTTCTGACCCTCATGGGGATGAACATGGTCCACATACATACAAACACTCATACACATAAAATAAATAAATAAATAAATCTTCCCTCAAGTTTGCACAGAAAAACCTGGGACCCAGTAGATGGTGACAAAGCCACCCAGGACTTTGCTCTGGGGATGCATTCAGGATGGTCTCTGGGAGCGATTCTCATGAGAGTACGGTGTTACTTAAAGAGACAAAACAGCCAGCAGTTTCAGGCCCTGCCAGCTGCTTCTGTTTCCTTGGTTTTTATTTGATTGTTTTGAGACAGAACCTCATGGAACTCAGGCTGGTCTCACCCTCACCCGTAGCTGAAGACGACCTTGAATTCTTGATCCTGCCCCTTCCATCTCCCCAGGGCTGGCAATGCAGGCACATGCCACTACACCCAAGCCCCTGCCCTGTGATGCTGCTCGCTCTCAGACTACCATCAAACCTGAGCGTAAGCCAATGTCATGAGTGTGAATCTCTGACACTGTGAGTTCAATCAAACCCTTGTCTTTAGACTCTCCAGCCTCCGGTATTTTGTTATAGCAACAGAAAACAGCCTAATGCACACTCCCAGTGTTCATGACCACACAATTATTCTTGCTAGCACAAACATAACCACACTCCACCCAGGAGGTCTATTTCTGACAACTATAGTCATAAGAACTTGGAGAAGAAAGCACCATCATATACATGGAAGGGATGAGGCATGAGGCAGAAAGTCCACTGCTTGCTTGTATGGTGAAAATTAAAAGACAGTGCAAAACAACCAAAGCAAAGAGTACTCTGGAGGTGAGTCACCTGGGGAGTTATGTCAATGGGAAATAACTGAGCAAAAACACTATGAATGGAGATTCTTACAAGTTGAGAGGAGGAACAATAGTTCAGCTTCTAAAAGTACGAACCAAGCAAGCTGAGCTTAATTCACAGTCTCCTAGGCTCAGAGCCTGGGTTCTGTGTCCCTCCCATGCCCAAGCCTCCCCCCTGCAGCTCACATATACTCTGCTCTGCCTATTAGAAGGCAAGGATCAGGGAACTTCTCCAGGTAGAGTCTGTGACATTTCTTGATAGCCCAGTGGCTGACAGGGAACAGTTGTAACACAGCAGTATACTTTGCACTTCCACAGCATGTGGGCCCTGAAACACTGCCCTGCCTCACCCACCGAGGACACATCAGCAGGGACCCCACCCTCTGCTGCCCTGGTCTCCTGCTCTGTTCCATAGCACAGAGATGAGATGTATAGAATGCCCAGTGTCTGGTGCCTGCCCAAGAAGCCTGTCCTATACTCTCTTACCTGGTACAGGTTTGGACATAGTCAGACACAGCAAAGGATGAAGGTGAGGAGAAGGCAGAGATGTGCCGACTGGCCAGCCCTGACTTGCTCACTCGCATTTAAGCCTCTTATTTTTATAATAGCTGCACTAAGCACAATAAAGTCTAGCAGTTCCATGGAGTGGGGTGATGGTTCTCTCTTCTCCTTTTTGCTTCTTGGATCGTTGGGGTCTGATCACAGCTCACTGTGAATGGGGCAAAGGCCTGCTGAGTGCTGGGCCTCCTGTTCTACAGCTCTGGTGACAGAGTTCCCATGGCAATGCGTTCTGTTGGTAAAGCCTCCCTGGCCCTCACCGCCTCCCACCATAGCATCTGGAGGAGAACTGGAGTACACAGTCGGATCTGCCCTGCTGTTTCTCCGATGTTCCCAAACTCACTTCCACATTTTCCTCAAAACCACTTCCTCAACTCTGGCAGTGGCTTCGTTTGGTGGAAACAAGGGTCTGGGAGCAGCAACGTGAGAGAGAACTCTTACACTCCTCAAAATACAAAAACCGACTTTGTCATTCACCTCGACAAAGACTTGGGTTGAACCATCATACAGATGGCTCCGTTGGCAGAATGTTTTCTGTGTGTGCATGGGGACCTGAGTTTGAGTCCTGGAACTCATGTAAAAGCCAGGGCATAGTGGTCCATGCTTGTAATCCCACTCTGAGGAGATGGAGACAGACAGAGAGATCCCCGGGGCTCATGGTAAACTCCTGGGACAATGGGAGACCCTACTTAAGGAGGATAAGGCGAAAGCAACCGAAACAGTCACCAACATCAATCTTTGGTTTCCATGGGTATTCATCCATTCATCACACACACCCATGCACACGCATGCACACATATGCACACAGGCACCCAACCCTAGTGAAAACCTGTCAAGCTTTTCAGGCTCCCTCACAGAGCTGCAGTGGGTGCAACACCCCACCTGAAGGTGAGAGAATGATGGCCACAGAGTCCCTGTTGTGAAGACAATGAATCGATATTTAACTCTCCATGTTTCCCCATGTGGTCTTGACACTGAATTATTCCAAGCCAGCCAGCAGAGCCCATAAACTCTAGGCTGCTAGGTATTTTAGCTAGCTGCCCCAACTGCCAATAAAATGGGATTTACATATCCAGCATTGCCTCATCTTAAATTGCTCTAAAACTTTCTTTCTATCTTAGTCTGCCATAAATGAGGGGGTTACGGGAACATGGTGGGAGGGACAGGGACGCCTTGCTTAATTTTATTACTTTAATGCGCTTCAGTGCTAGGATGTGCCAGCAAAAATAAAGGCGAAGATACGCCATCTCCACGGTCCATTATTGAGCAATAATGGGAGTGGATCGCCTTGCTTGTATCATTAACCCGACAAGATGATGAGATAAATACATATATATTTGCAGTGAATAACTGACACTGTCCCCATAATTGGGAGGCTCTATCGTACGGACTTTTATTTCCCAATGTTGGTAATTCTCTCTGGCTAATTGCACTCTGGGCTGAGATGTCTCAGCGGGGCGCTCAGGCTGCAGGGGAAGTTTTTGTAGGTCCATGTTTCTGATTAAATCAAATTAAGTAGCTTGAGAAATTGAAGTGGTTTTTTTTTGTTTTTCATTGTTTTTTGGGTTTTTTTTTTTTTTTTTTTTTTGCTTGTTGTTGTTGTGGTTTTCATTTTCAATAGAGACCTGGACACTGTGAAAAGCCAGAACAGCATCATGTCTGTCTTTCAGGATGCACTGGGGCATCCACATGACACATCTCAAGAGCAGAGCAGGCACACCCCTGACCTGCGCTCAGATGTTCCCTTTGCAAGTGACATCTGCCTTGGCCTCAGGGAGGAAGTAGCACTGATGACCTCTGGCCTGCACCTGCTGAGGGGACCGCAAGGTGTAAGAGGAAAAGGTCTGGCCAACAACACAGCAGTGAAGAGTCTCTCTGTGCTCCAGGGCCTCCAAAATCCAGAGCCTCCCCACTAACCTACCGTGCGTTCATTACTCAAAATTCGTAGAATTGTTTTCTACCTGTAAGCTCTCTTCTCTTAATCAAATGACCTCTCTGATGCCCACAAGTGACAGCCACACTGCCACTCCCCACTATGGTGACCGGTGACTGCAGCTACTGCCTTCAGAGGATCTGATGGACAGCTCAGTGCTGGTCTCACAGGTAATGACTGTCAAGCCTTCTTTGTGGCTCCTCAGCACCTACCCCCATACCCTCTCACCTAAAAGACCATACACCTACCAGCTTACTTCCTTGACTTCTTGGTTCTATCTTCTTTCTAGAAATTTCTGTGTGAGTATAAAGAGCGAGCATATTCTATAACACAAGCACATGTTTCTGCTATTACCAAATATGGTGAAAAGCAGTCTGGGATGCTCGGGGGAGTTGAGAAATCAGAGAGTTGATGTTCCCATTGTTCTTTTCCTGATACCCAGATGCCCACTGAGGAGAGAAGGAGGCACATGCATCTCGGGTGCAGAGAGGTCTTTAGGGATTAGTCCTGGTCCTTACAGGGGTTAATAAAAGGACTTTGGATGAGGTGGGGGTGGATCAGAGAGTAAATATACCTCCATTGCAGAGCTGTGGAAAGATGTAAGAAACGATGGGCCATTGTTCCTAGAGTGCAAGGCAGATTTTAGGCTAAATAGAGACAGTGGGTGCTCAGAAGAGGCCTAAGTCAGAAGGAGGATTGATACAGGAGACCAGAGTCCTTTCAGAAGGCAGTGGGGTAGAAAGAACCAGCTGCAACCAGCTGTCTTGGTTAGTTTTCTGATGCTGTCATTGAATCCCAGAGGCTGGGAAATGAATAATGTAAAGACATTCGTTTCTCATAGCCTCAGAGCCTAAGAAGTCCAGTGTTCTGTACCAGCCTCTGGCGAGGCCTTCTACCACATCAGAGCATGGTGGATCACATCACTCATGAGGTCAGAGAGGCAGGACACATGGGCAAGAATTCACCCTGAGCCTCACTGTGTGTCTGCTCTGTGAGACGGTAAGAACAAGCAGATGGTCCCACTCCTGGGTGGGGGCTGTTAGGGATAGATAGGGGATGTCCTCCTGGATCTTTATCGGATGGCAGAGATCTCTCTAAGCCTGGAACCAGGGGACACACCCATCCCCTGTGTGGGGTATTCTCACAGACACTAGCAGTTGCTAGCAAAGAGGAATCCTCTGGCAGTGACTGGGAGACTATCTCCATGGAGCCTGGAGACCAGTGCTCCCTGGGAGCACCCATGAGACCTCTCTGATCCTTCTGGGAGTACCTATGGGCCCTCCTTGCTCCTTGGGTTGTGTCAATAATGGCTATAAGCTTCTTGGCCTGTGTAAAACCCGCACATATTCACTGCAAAGCAATGTGACGTGCTAAGCCACATCCAAGGAAAGAGAATGGGAGGTGGAAGAGGAAGTCA